TAAATTAGGTGGAGTCGTATGCAAAACACCATATATTTATCCATGAGTGTGATCAGTATGCTAGATTGAAACATTAACAGGAGCAGGAAGAAATCCCCCATGTTCAGCATGCTTGACTACGTTGCACTAGCAACAGAAGTTAATTAGTATGTGGGTCATGATTAATCTTAAAACTCATTGACAACATTACTATCAGTCCATAGAGCAAAGTTTCGTTTCACAGGGAAGGGAAAAAAAAAAAAAAGAGGGAAAGCCAGAAACTGCAACAATTAAATAAAAAATTCAACTGTTCCAAAGAAACATACTTAGGAGAAGTTTTTCGGTCCTTGGAGACAATGATGAGGTATCCCCGATACCAATGAACAATCAGCTTTTGTCCCTCGAAAGCAAAGCAGGGGCCTCGTTCATCTGGTTGATAAAGATACACACATTCATTTCCTGCTACAATGAACTGAAGATCCTGGGAGGGGTCGCTCAGAGAAGAACAGTGCAATCCACAGCCATGAGTGTCCAGCTCCAGATGAGAATAGTCTTTCACAGAAAGCAGGTAGGACTACAGAGAAAATGCAAGATTCGGGGGCTTACTCAAAATAGACTCTGAAAGCAGTGCAATTGTAAGTCAGATTCTCACTTTTTCCAATTAATTTCCCACCTGGATGTTCTCTGTGGTCACCACAAATAGATGTGTTGTTTTGCCAGACTGTCGAAAAGCAAGACCAGTAACTGGGTAACTGCCTTCATGTAGGATCTGGGTCTTACTATGCCGGTCTCGAGTGATGTCTCCTTTTGTAAGCACAACACTCCCGTCTGCAAAACCTTATAAAACGATAGATCAAACTGTTCACTTCTGTGGCACACTAGAAATATTATCCAGGACAAGTTAGGGCAGGTGCAGTCAATGACAAAAATTTGCTTGCCAGCAAAGTATCAAGCTCCTAGACTGCTGCAGGCTCTCAATTAAATACCTACCAATTTCTCCCCATACACGACATCACTGTTCAATGCTCAACTTGTTCTCCCCCATCATGAACTTCACTTGCAGGTCATTTTTGTTTGGGTCTTCCTATATTTTGCTTTACAAATAGCCCTTTCATCATTTAATTTTAACTATCAGTTATGTCACTTATTCAAAGCATGCTACACACAAAAAAGCAGGTTTCACAGTTTGCTGACAGCATCAATCCAGCAAACTGTTCCAAGCTGGAAGGTCACAGCACTAATATGGAAAGACTTAATTTCATGCAGAGACTAACTCACAGAAACGGTTTGTAACCTTGCTACATTCCGTCTCTTACTTTAAGCAAGCAACATTAAAAAATGTTTAATGTTTAATTAAAACAGAACAAATGGGGATTGGCTTTGTGGGCTTTAAGAAAGTTTCCACACAGTGTCTGGGGGGAAAAAAACACCCTAGCATTATTTATGAAAAAACCTATGCTATTCTCTGTGCTGATACTAAATTTAGACTAAGTCTATTACTATTATTATCATACACTTCTTGGCTTGCAGGAACAAAAAACATCAACTGAGAAGATCTGCTTCTCTGTGAGATATCAAAATTGTTACAATCATAACGCAAGCATAAGCTAAAATTATGTATTTATTTCCTTATGGTCTCCAGCAGCACATAATATACAACCTCTCTGTGAGAAGAGCGTAAAAACAGTTTAAGAACAATGAAAATGTTCTACAATGGTTTTTGTGTTACATATCTATTTTCCATACATCAGAATAGAGACAATAATATATTTATTAAATTATTACAGATCAGCTATACTTACCAATAGCCATGAAATTCAGATTCTCATGGACAGTTAGACAGGACACAACTGTGGGCTTGTTACCCGGTATCGCTGGGAAAATTCGTGTGCAAAGAGGATTGCCACCATCTCGTTTTTCCAGATTCCATACTTTAACCTAAAAACAATAAATATTACATTAACCAAAAAAACAAAACATGAGATATTAGAAACAAACGACTTAAGAATTAACTATAACACCAGTATTTTTTCCTCTGCCATTTAACTTACCAATGGGTTAATGCCCTCTTCGTCCTCACCAACAGAAACCAAAATACTGTGCTGCTTCAGCTGGTATAGGTGCGTTACCCTTAACTTGTAAGCTTGGAAACCACTAAGTTGAAGCGAGCGAGGCAAAAACCAGATCCGACCTTCCATATGTACATCACAGTTAAGGAATACGAAGGAAAAGGTAAAAATGGAGTGAAAAACAACAACCATCCACACCTCTAAGAATACTAGAATCAAAATCTTAAAAGCTCCTTATTGCCGGGAAGCCTACAGCAAATATACTTTTGCTGTCACCTATGAAAACTAAAACAGGTAACAACAGTACTGTAACTTGCAAGGAGCAGAGAAGCCAAGGAAACTGCTGCATACCCGAGACTGGAGTACTGCTAGGCCCGCCTCGGAGCTCAGCCCGCGCCACACAGCGCAGATCTCCCCTCGCGGCGCAGTGCGGCCCGACCCGCCGGGCCCAGCCTACGAACCCGCTGCAGGCCAGGTGGCCCGGCCCCATCACTCTTGCCGCCGCCGCGCAGGATATCTCCGAACACAAGGTTTCCTCGGCCTGAATCACAGACCGTGATGCCCGGAGGCAACGCGAAGGGCTTCCCACCAGCCCCCTCCGGCCCCGGCGGCTCCTTCACCATCTCTCTGTCGAAGAAGACGAAGCGGCGCCACTGCAGATAGGCGGCCATGTTGGGTCGAGCTCCTCACGTGACCGACATCCCAACCTCCCCCCCCTTCGTGTCACGAGACGAAGGACGCCGGAACGCGCGATCTGGCGTAGTGCGCATGTGCTGGCGCGCGAGCCCAAGTGGGGGGCGCGGCGCTGCGGTGCTGCTCTGCGAACAGCTGGGTTAACTGTCTGATACGGCTAGCTGTTTGAAATACGCTCGTAGAAACTTACTCCTTGAGAAAGTATGCCTTGGTAATTGCAAACTGAATCGGTTTTTTAGTTTACTTTACATGGTGCCATAAACTTTTCTGGCCAGTTTTACATTTCCCACTGGAACAATTTTGGATTAAACTGTTACAAAGCAGCCTGTAATAAACGGCAGTTCCTTGAATTCAATTCTCACTATTGTCAGTGGCTTGATCCCCTATATAGCCCGGTAGGGAAACGCGGTAGCAAAGAAATTTGACATCAAAACAAAAATACAAAAAAAAAAAAAAGAAAGCTTTATGGATAATAATACATGTATGTTACTTCCAAAGTCTCTCCAGTTTCTTGTAAAATCTTAGAAGAAATTGCTCTTCCATTTAGTCATGGTGGATATTATCCAGCAGTCCAACACACTGCAGTTTTGTTGCTTCACAACCAACGTCTCCTACCAGCCCAGCCTTAGAAAATTCAGTACTGTAGTACTCTTAGTGTTGTGTTTTGTCCTCATTTTACAGATTAAAATGTAAGCCCAATTACAGGCTGCCAGACATAATGCCAGGGCGCTGATCTGGAGCTGGGAAAAAGTGACATTACCTGCATCTTATCCACAGCTTCAGCTATAGATGGCAGTCCTGGTTCTTAGCCTGGACTTATTTCCATCTACCACAGGCCACCCTAACCTACTTCAGGCACGTAAGCCAGGCACTGCTTCCAGCCTCGGCTACCGCGGTGCAGCGGCGGACCCCGAGCAGTGCCGGGTACAGCGACACTGACCGCGGGGGGGCACGAGCGCTCCGCAGCTGTCGGAGCTACGGCGGGAGCCGCCCGCCCTGTGAAGAATACCGATACTGCTAAGAGACACTTAAGGATGTTTTTGTAACTATGGTTCCTCTAGCAGCAAGAAGAAATGCGTCTATAACAGGAATTTCGGGCCAAAAGCGACGTTGTACCGTGCAACACTTAAAGTTCCTGCAAAATAAAAATTGATTTTTGGGCCAATGTTATAAGACTTAAATGGAAGCAGTCAAGAATAAAACTAATTTTTGACTAAGAGAAAAGTTAGATAGTATTTTATGCAATTGTAACGGGAAAGAGACCAGCGCAATAGAAGGATGTTAGAAAAATGCTCACCTGTCTCTGAAAATCTCAGCTTGCTAGAAAGTCTCCATAAAGGACAGATCACTAAACAGAGATCCCTCCTTAGCGACAGTCAGCCCTTAAATGAGGTCTAAGAGAGGTGCAGACACGCTCCACTCCTTCTGATCACATCGCTGAATTGCTTTCATCTGTACTCCCAGGGTTGACTGGGCCTTTTCCCCAGGTGCTCAATCAATGGTTCATGCCGGAACTCAACAGTTCCCGTAGACTTCAAAGAAAAAGCTGCTTTGATCACACCGAGATTGTATCATGCTGGAATTATTCATGGAGTCACAGAACCATTCCGGGTGGGAAAAGACCTCTGAGATCCCCAAGCTCAACCCACCCCCACTAATGGCCACTGCCCACAACCCCCAGTGCCACATCCCCATGGTTCTGGAACGACCCAAAGGACGGTGATCCCACCACCTCCCTGGGCAGCCTGTGCCAGTCCAACGCCAGTATCTTGGAGATGAAACTCTCTCTAATATCCAACCTGAAAGTTCAGTCAGCATCTAAGAGTTCTGAAAAATGCAGCTTTAGACAGGGAGAAAAGGAGCTCGGATATGGCACAAGAGTGGGTGCCATCGCTCTCTACCCCTGACGCGGAACAAAAAGGGTGCGGCAGCCCCAGGGCTATTTCCAGGCTGCTGGAGACACTGTGGGGAATCCGAAGGCCCGGGGCCGGCTACACCTCTGGCAAGCGGTTCCCCGACAGGGAAAGCACAAAGAAAGCGCGCCGCTCCAACCCGGCGACATCAGCCCAGCGCTTCCCGGCGACACCAACCGAGGACTGGCGAAGCCGGAAGCAACCACTCCGCAACTCCCGCGCCGCGGCGGGGAGGTTGGAGGCACCCGAGGGCTGCGAAGCCCCGCCTCCACCCCGCCCACGGTTGCCATGGCGACGCCCCGCCCCCGTGACGCGCGCAGTGACGCGCGGTTGGTGGAGGCGGGCGCAGGGGGCGGGGCGGCCCGGCCCGCGGGGCGCCGCAGACAGAGAAGAGCCGCCCGAGCCGCTGCCGCCCCCCGCGCCCAGCATGGTAATGGCCGAGCCCCGGCGGCCCTCCCCGCTGCTGCCCCGCGGGCCCGGGCCCGTCCGTGTCGGCTTCTACGACATTGAGGGCACGCTGGGCAAGGGTAACTTCGCCGTGGTCAAGCTGGCGCGACACCGCATCACGCGCAGTGAGGTGAGGCGCGGCCCCGCCGCCCCCGCTCTTCTACTGGGCCCGGGCTGCGGACTGCGAGCTTGGCTGCGGGCAGACGGCAGCCGCGGGTCCGCTGGGGACGGCAGCCTTGGGGCCGGGAGGCGGTCGGGGCCGGGAGGAGCGGAGCGGCCGCGCCCCGCCTGTGCCGCTGCCGGGGGCTCGGGTGCTGCCCCCGCCCCACTCCTCTTGGGTCCGGCTGCGCCCTGCGGTGCTGCGGCCCGTCCCGGCCAGCGGTGAGGCCGAACTGCCACGCCGGGACGAGGCCGCGTGCCCCCGCAGCGCCTCCCGCGTCTCGCGGTGCCTTTGTGCAACACCTCCCCCCACCACGGGTGTTCCCGCGGCCGCCCGCCGGCGCGGTGCTGTCGCCTGGGACGGGTACCGTGCGCCTCGGGACGGTCCTGTGGGGAGCGGCGGTTCGGCGGCCCTCTAGGAGCGCTGCCCCCAAGGAGCAGGCGAAGCTCGGGGTCGGGGTCCGCAGGGGCTGCTGGGGTCCTGCGTGGTGAACCCGACTTTAGAAAATGCCCTATGCGTGGCCTTCAGGTCAACACAACTCCATGCCGTTGCTGCTGTGCTCATACCATACAGACGAGTGCTGCATCCCCAGCACCAAGTTTCCCTAACTCTCTTGTTTCCTAAACTGCCCGATACTCAGAACATTGCTGGTAAATCCCTCAGTGCCACTGTTGCTGGGCTGAGCTGGTTTCAGGTGTCCCTGCCCACTGGCCTGATGCCATGCCATCACATGCTGCACGCTCCTTTGCAGGTAACGGTTCTTCACTTTTCTCTGACTCTGTGATGAGAGCAAAACCTTTCGTTTTGATTTTTAATTGTTGTTTTAGAATGTGTGTTTGTTTGCTGTTGTTCAAAATATCAAAGATTGCAGACAGACTTAGAGCCTGATGGCTGCCCAACTCTGCTTTGACTTTTTCATCTGTACTCTAAGAAATGGCTGAATTCCTGTGCGTTCCCCTTTGGTACCAGCCTGTCATCCAGCTCTCTCTTCCTAATGAGCTCTGTGTCCCTCTGCAGTTTCTGTCTCCCAAGCAGTTTCTAGGTAGGTTGCTATGTCAGAGACATACCCAGGCTGTTTCTCAGGACAGTGTGCTGACATGCTGCAGCTGAAGTGCCAGGTTGGCTCTGTGTGCATTTATTGGTTGCTGGGGAAGAGGAATCCCATCGAGATCACTCTTGAGGGTTCCAGTGCAGCTGATTGTGGCCAGTCTTGCTTTGAATGAGCAAGTGAGTGCTGCAGGCCTGCACCACACTCCCTTGGCTTGGTGTGAGTTCACCATGCATGTATGTGCACGTGCATAAAAATGGGGGATTGATCCCCACTGATGGTGATAGAAGTAGTCCATGACCACCCGTGCTGGAGTGACCTCTGTGTGGCTTCTTGCTTGTGTGTTTGTTGCCACTGAAGTTAATGCACGTGTTTTCCTGCTATGCTTATTTATCATGTTGCCAAGAAATCCTGTGATGTCAGAGTAACTGTTCTTAGTGAAACATGCATAGATAAGCAAAAATTTTGCTTGGAAGGAGAAGAGACGAAGAAAAATCAATTTTAGGAAGGTACATATTGGCTTGTGATGAAATATGATGAAGATTTGCATGGTAGTGCTATGCTTCTGTTTGCTGTTGGGGATAGATGAAGGTACCACCTGGACAATCCCTGTCAATAATCCACGAAAGAATCAAGTCTCAGTTCAGGTTAAGAGAATAATTCAGTGGGAAACTGAAACAGTTCCCCCCCCCCC